CTCTTTTATTTCTCTAATCCAATCTCACATTCACTTCAGTTCTCCTATTATAATGTAACTCATCACATGTTTATCTCTTTTATTTCTCTAATCCAATCTCACATTCACTTCAGTTCTCCTATTATAATGTAATTCATCACATGTTTATCTCTTTTATTTCTCTAATCCAATCTCACATTCACTTCAGTTCTCATATTATAATGTAACTCATCACATTTTTTAATCCAAGTGCTGTACAACCAAATGCCTTGATAGTTGGAAAACAATGTACAACATTTGCATTAAGATTAGGTAAAAAATATACAAAGAATACATCAGGAATGCAGACATATATATCTATGAAATACTGAAATATGGTAGTTCATTGATCAAATAACTACAGCAATCTGTACAAGGGTTTTTGTTTTTAATTTGACCAGAATATTTATAACCAACAATACTGTTGACCATCACTATTGTTTTGTGTACCTATTGTTATAAATGTTTCCAACTAGTGTGATTATAGTGTACTTTTATTGAAAATGATAGAGTTGTCAACAAAATTATTACAGTTTTAAGACCAAACTTAACCTCAAAAGTTATATCTAATACTTCAAATATAAGCCATAAACATTCCCCATATCTATATAGTAACTGACCAAAGTATTGTTATGACAGCGGAAGTCACGTGACGCTGGGAGCATACGCGCTGGAGTTTCTCGAAGGATCATGAATTATCGGGGAAGACCGAGTTTGTTCAGGACACCCTCTTTTTTAGTATATAAACCTGGCGAGAAAAACCAGCGAGATTGAAGAGATAGATAATTGAGTCAAGCGAACACTAGGCAACGTAAGTAAAGTGTGTGAATCACTGTGTTTATAGCTTGTGTTATAAAGGTTGTTAAGTTTAAAGTGACTGTGGAAATTCTGTGTATTACATAGTTGTATCAAAAAAGAATAAACTACATTTAATCAAGATGGGACTTGTATCACCGAATTTCCTCGGAAAGAATTTATACCGGAAATTAACAAACAAGCAGATACGCAACAGTATATTTAATTCATTTTATCTCAAGTCCAATAGAATCAAAACCAGTTTCAAATGTAATTTTAGTAAAAATACTGTATACCAAGCTTATTTATGGCTAAGTAGAATTACCACTGATAGGTTGTTTAGACAGAGTATTCATAATGAATCTAAGTTTCAAATGGACAGCACTTGCATGTTGTAGAAACCTACAAATGTAGAGGACGATGTTTTGAAAACGACCTGAAGACAAAAGGTGGAAAACTTTCGAAACGTCGTCCTCTACATTTGTAGGTTTCTACAACAGGCAGTTGCTGTCTATTTGAAACTTAGATTCAAGTAGAATTACCAGTTTTATGACTGATAAATATATAAAACACCTAAAACTTAGGTAGTAACTTCTACTTAATCAATCAGCAATTACACAGGCCTGCAAATTTAAATTTCATAAACATTGTTTTGGTTTTGATAATGAATTTTCCATAATTTCCATAACACAGCCCTGATGTTTTTCCGACTAATTACTGTTTCTGTAGTTTAGTTGCTGTAAGGATGGTTTTATACAATAAAAACTATGTCATTCCTTCATAATTTATCATTTTGTTCAGTAAGCTTACTTATTCACATTAGCAATTTTTTCCCTATAACAATTACTTCGAAGAAAATTATTTTAGCCTAATTTCATTTTCAAGCATGAAGTTTTTCAATTACTGATATACAAAAAGTGACTTATCATATTTGAACCAAGTTTTAATATAATTCTGTCAGTTCTTACATCATCTTCAGCATTAACAGGGGAGCTCTGTTGAAGTAGATAATTAACAACATCAGAATGTCCTCCTGATGCAGCCCAGTGAAGAGGTATTCTCCCTGCCTAAAAAGTACAATGCATATTTAATACACTTTTCATTTGAAAGTCCAAAATAATCAAATTTAAATAACAAAATGTACCATTCTTTTATTAATATCATGCACAACAGGTTGAAATGTATGAAGCCCAGATGCACAAAATTATTTTTTAGCTATTTATTAACTTGTGGAATGGTTTATCTAATAGTATGGTGTGTGCTATTAGTTTGAACTATTTCAAAATTTTGTTTTATATGTATTACAACATTACACAACAAGGAACCACATGGTTCTTCAAGGCTATTCTCATACACACACATCTTAGGTGTAATCAAAAATTGGCGATAGGAACATGGACAGAAAAATACATAGAGATTAATGTGTTTAGGTATATATATTTGTTTTTGTTCTGTTTATATATATATATATATATATATATATATATA